GTTTCCCTGTAGGGAAACAGGCTGGGGCCTGTAGGCCCTGTCAGAAGGAAGCTTCCAGGCAAGAGCCTGGAAGTTTCCCTGTAGGGAAACAGGCTGGGGCTTGTAGGCCCTGTTAGAAGGAAGCTTCCAGGCAAGAGCCTGGAAGTTTCCCTGTAGGGAAACAGGCTGGGGCCTGTAGGCCCTGTCAGAAGGAAGCTTCCAGGCAAGAGCCTGGAAGTTTCTCTGTAGGGAAACAGGCTAGAGGTCCGGGACGGGCCCTGCAGGGCCCGTGTGGCTGCACAGTATGCCACCCCCCCCCCTCCTTGAAAGACCGAGCTTACCTACGAGGGCGAAGCTGTCTGTCTGAGGGAGGGACCACAGTCCGGGTGGGAGGGGCAGGTCGTGGAGGTCCCTTGGCTAACCTCTGTCGCTCGTCGTGAGCGTAGATCAGCGGTGCAGACGCTTTCAAATCTGCTCCTGAAATCCACGGAGTGTCGTCGGGATCGCATGCTCTGAATGTAACTTTGTACTGGCGCGGCTTGAGTGCTTGGAAAGCCTGGCACGCGTCGTCATCGAATACGAATGGCACCTTTGGCGATTGTAGTCTCGTCAGAGGTGCGGCAATCCTTGAGTATCCGGTGATGAAATGCTGATAATAGCCTGCCAACCCCATGAATGAACGAACGTCCGTGGTGTTGGTGGGCTCGGGCCATACGCGGATGGCCTCGATCTTGTCCGCAAGCGGACGGATGCCTTGCGCCGTCACATAGTGTCCCAAGTACTCCAGCTCCTGCTGTGCGAACTCGCACTTGTCGCGGTTTGCTTTGTACTTGGCCTGTCGTAGCCGCTCCAAAACGGTGCGCAGGTGTTCCACATGGTCGTCCAGACTCCGGCTGTAAACCAGAATGTCGTCGAGGTACATAAGTACGAAACGATCCAGCATGTGGCGGAACTCCGTCGTCATAGCCGCTTGGAAAGTGGCTGGGGCATTCGTAAGGCCAAATGGCATGACCAGCCATTCGAAATGCCCATACCGAGTCTTGAACGCGGTCTTGTAGCGATCCTTCTTGCGAATCTCGAGTTGGTGGTACCCTGACTTGAGATCCAACTTAGAGAAGAACTTGGCGCCACCCAATCACTCGAGAAGGTCGTCGATGCGTGGGAGAGGGCCGGCGTTCCTGATCGTCTGCGCGTTGAGCTTGCGATAATCGATGCACAACCGCAGGTCCTTGTTCTTCTTCCGGACGAAGAGAACAGGAGCACCGTATGGCAATGAGCTAGGCCGAATCCAGCCTTTCTCTAGACAGTCGTCGAGTTGTGCCCGAAGCACACTTAACTCTTCCTCGCTCATTCGATAGATGCAACAGCGCGGAGGTACGGCCCCGTCCTCGAGGATGATCTCGTGGCGGATGGGTCGATCCGGTATTACTCCATGCGGGTCTTCGAACACGTCGCTGTAGGCGTCGAGAAGTTTGGTGATGCGTGGATCCGAAGGTGAGTCCGTCGATGAAGCGTCATGTGGCGGGAGGGCGTGGAGAAAACACACCCCCATCTCCTCGATGTCGTCTCTGATGATGGAAGCTCGCATGCTTGCGGCGGATACCACGTGGCA